AAAAAAAAAAATAAATAAATAAATAAAAGAAGAGGCAATACAGGTTCTACTCTCCTAAACACGAACATGAGGCTGTTGAAAATTAGGTCTGAGGCCTGAGCAGACTGCGATACGCAGCTGTCACTGGGGCAAAACACCTCTGAGATGAAGTTGAATTTCTAAGGAGTAAGAGCCAAGTGTGTTTCGTGTGGGCCCTACAAATTATAGTGATTTGGTTTCAGCCTGAACAAGCACCACAAACAAATCCTGGCAGGCAGGGTCCCTACAGGAGGGGCCGAACAAGTCAGTTTTCATTTCCTTCCAAGCCCTCATTCGGCTGATCCATCCACAGAAAAATAGAACAAAAGGCAAGAGATTACTGCACCCTAAAGCATCCAAGTGGCTTATTCGGCTCAGGGGTTATTTATAGCAAGCTGGCTCACACTGAGCACTGCTGCAAATGTGCAAATGGAAGCTTCAGGACTGTAACAGTAGACAGAGACGCAAGGTGTGATCAGTGATTCCATTCTCAAGCCTGTTGTGGTTCTGATCTGGCCACGCCTTTCACCGCCACCATGAACATTTACCTCAAAATAGGCTCATCCTCTTCTTCATGTGCACGTTCTATTTGCAGATGTTGTTATGAGGACAGATCCATCAGAAATGACTGATGTGGAGTCTGTGGTCAATAATTTTGCATCTTCGGCCAGGACCGGCCGCCGGAATGCTGTGCCAGACATCCAGGGCTCAGCCGGGACAGGTGGGCCCTCAGAGTTGCCCCTCAAACTGGAGGCCCTCTCCATGAAGGAAGGTAACGCACAAATTCTCTTCGAATTAGCAGCCCTCTCTTCTTAATCAATCCTTGCCTCTGGAACAGTCTCACTTTTAACTAGTTATAAGTGCTCTTTTTTCTTACGTGTTGACTAAGATCTGTCAATTTTTGTTGAAGGCTAAGTACATTTTTTTTAGGCTTTCTGAAAGTGAACAGCTTCATCTTTTTCTCTTCCAATGTGTATGTGCAAGCTGAACATTTATGTATTTGGTGGACATGTAGAGTCACTCATAGTGCTCATTATTGGGAATAAAATGTGAACAAATATAATCCCTTCCCTCAATAAACTTAAAAATTTATCGAGAAACACTCAGAAATAGAATAGTTTTCCTCCTGTCATCCATTAGCAAACCACTTTGGAAGCTTGGGCTTCACTATAGTATTCTATAAGCCCTTCTATTTCTCATATCTAAAAAGCAGTTTATTATCAGTTGAAGATGAGATCTGTAAGGTGAGTATTTGTATAAAAGGTAACCATTCTTCAGTGGAAAAAGTTGAATTAAGGACAAAGGGGAGCTGTCAAACCAATGAAGGAAAACTTGGGTTTGTCTCCCCATTGCTTACATACAGTTCATCTAGCTTCCGGAGTTTGGTCTTCTGGAAATAAATATAATCATACTGTCAGTAAATTTTTAAAGAAGTCTTTTTATTTAAAAAACATTCATGAAGGTTAAAGAAAATTTCAGTTCCAAGTCATTACCAAGATACCTGTGCCTTGTGCCCCATTTTAGATGTCAAGGTAGACTTCAGTATGTGTGTAGAAATTTATTCCTGCTGCCAAGGAGGCAAGAGGCTAGCAGCTTCTACACATCCACCCTATTCATGCAAGTCCCAGAAGAAGGCTCTTGGTCCTCTGCTTCAGGACATTATTTGTTACCTGATAAAGTTACAAATGTTCCTGGTTTGATCCCTATGAAATAAGTATATCTTTGTTTGGCCAGGGACACCTCACTTGTTCCCAGAGGTCATTGCATTTCTCATATGAGACACTACAAATAATAGCAAAAAAGTACATATGTACATACAAACTATTTGTTTTTTAAAGATTTTATTTATTTATTTGAGAGAGAGAGAGAGTGAGAGAGCACAAGAGGGGGGAGCGGGAGAGGGAGAAGCAGACTCCCCGCTGAGCAGAGAGCCCGATGCGGGACTCGATCCCAGGACTCTAGGATCATGACCTGAGCCGAAGGCAGTCGCTTAACCGACTGAGCCACCCAGGTGCCCCCATACAAACTATTATAAGATGGGAAAAGGGAAAGAAAGAAAATAAATAAAAATGTGTGTAATGGTTTTGGCCTTTTAAGTTTGAAAATGGAATATGGTTACCAGAACATGATATTGCTGTTGAAGGGCCATCCTCAACCAGAGAGGTGGAGAAGCTAAGTTACTTATTAGCCTGACAGGCCTAATTAAAGTTTACATGCCCCAAACACACACACACACACACACACACACACACAACCTTAATGCTTGTTGACATTACCTAAATGAAAGAGAAAAAATACACGGTAGGAGAATTAGTAATCTTCACCATTTTATTTTGGTCACTAGAGACCATTATCTGAAAGAATATTGTTACTATTTTTATATCGTTAAATAACAAAAATCCAACTAAGTAAATTTGAAGATATAATTGACTTTATTAAGGGATTCATGAATCAGGCAACATCCTATCTAACAAGTTAGAGGGGAGCCCTGAGGAGTTGTACAAAATGAAGGGTTTTTATGAGAAGGAGGGTGAGCCAAGGAATTTACTAGCAAAAGAAAAAGGATTGTTCCAAGCAAGATCACATTCCCTTAGAGGGAAGGGCAAAGGGATTATTAGGTGGATTATTAAGTGGTTTTTAGATAGTTTCCCTCAGATCTGTCCTCTTTGGTTTTTGTTGTCGTTGTTTTTGATATTTTTAGGCGGGAAGAACTCTAGGATCTCAAATGCCTTGCGTCCTGCATGAAATTAACCTGCCTGAAATTTGCCTGGTTCATACTCTGTTTTAATCTATGTCTTATAAATTAATAACCATGATAGGGAGGACAATGATGCCTGGTAACATATCAGCAAGAAATGACAGAGGGTGGCAGCGGTAAATGTCACAAAGGGCCTTTTCTTAACTCCCTCTGTCACTATTTGATCCATCGTTCAGTTTAGTGCCCACTAGGTGCTAAGCACCATTCTAAAAACCGTAGCGTAGTGGTGAATCAGACAAAGTCTTGCTGTCATGGATCTTCTATCTCCAATGGGAGAGTTAAATTATAAACAAGTAAATATATGTCAAAAGTGATATGTTCTATCAGAGAATGAAATAGGATGTTGTGGTAGAGTTACAGCGTGACTCTAGACCGAGAAATTAGGGCAACCCTTCCTGAGACCTGAATGACGATGGTGTGTTTTCAGTGGCAGCTGAAGAAAGCAAGAGGCACACGAAGGTCAGAGGTAAACATGGTCTTTGCAGAAGGAGCAGCTAGTAAAAAGCTCTTAGAATGGACGTGCCTCCAAATCCTTTGTCTCTCTTTCTCTGATCCTCACCACACCACCCCTCTATTTCAAGATCACAAATGACATTGTCTCTGATGAAATCAGTGGTCCATTCTTAGTCTCCACCCTACGTGATCTCTTGGCAATTGTGTCTTTGTGGATCGTGCCCCTTCCCCTCAACACTGTTCTTCCCTGGGCTTCCTGAACACCCCATTCTCCTGGTTTTCTTCCTGCTTCACTCGCTGTTCCTTCCCCTGCTGTTGTTTCTTAATGTCCCCTATCTCTTAATGAATTAGATGGTACCAGAACTGTCTTTTGACTTCTTCTCTATCAACATTCCCTCCTCTTGAGATATCGTCCAATTTCACTGGGATAATATAATCTTCCTGATCACTCACAAATTTGTTATCTCTAGCCAGAAGCTCCTCTGGCTTCACACTCATAAATCCATCTGCCTACTTGACCTCTCTGCTTGGCTATCTTACAGGAATCTCAAACTTAATGGGTAATAGGGAGAACTCCAGATATTCTTCCTGACACCTGCTCTTCCTGCCTCTTCTCCATCTTGGTGAATGGCAGTTTCATACTTCCAGTGGCTAGAGCCAAAACTTGGAGTCCTCCTTGTCTTCCCCTCTTTCTCTCATCTTTACATCTAATCTATCAGCAAAAATTGTCAGCTCTGCTTTCCCATTTGTCCAGATAGCTGCCATTTTTCACCTAAAAGATCTGGTCTCTTGGTATCTCTCTGACTCCATTTTCCAATCTTTTTTCTCCCTTCTGTCCCACTTGCAGTTCCTTCCTGCACATTGATGCCTTTGACCTTGCTGTTCCCTCTGCTTGGGATGCTCTCTCCCTGCTCCTGGCATAGCTCACCCCGCCCCTTCTTAGGGCTTCACTCGCATGCCCCTTCTCCCCAGCAAATCCTATCTAAAACCACAACCTCCAGGCCCCAAGACTTCTTGACAACTCCTATTCTTTTATTTCCTCCATAGCACTTAGGACTCCACACATACCACATATTTTACTTGTTCTGCTTCTTCCCCACATCCCTCATTAAAAGTCTCCTGAGAGCTGGAATTTTTTTTTTTTTCCACTGCTTGGTACATAATACATGCTTAATACATATTTCCTGAATGAAAGTTGAAGAACTGAATAGAGTCCATCAGATTTAACTTCAGAGATGCCAGTGATGATTTCAGTAAGCACTTTTGGGGAAGCAGTAGAGACTTAATAGTTTTCATTTAAAATGGAGACAGCAAAGGATGATACACTTTAAAGGATAAAAGACAAGACAGTATGTGGAAGATTTGTGGTTGAAAGAAGGCCTTTGTTAGTGTGAAGGTGGTGGTGACTTGAGGAAATGAGGAGTCAGGAGAAAGGGAAAGTCAGGTGAAAGGGAGGCGGAGGATGATTGTTAAGAGTCAGCTTCCTGATGAGGCAGAAACGGATAGGATCCCCGATCATGAAGGAATAGACCTGGAAAGCCTGAGCAGCACCAGGCCCGGCTCCAAAGGTCTGGGTGAGTGTGGTTGCACAGGGCCCTTGGGCTCAGAAGAGGTTTGCACTCGGTGTCAGGCGCTACTGTTGCTGTCTTGAAGTTTTCCATATTTTTTGAATAAGAGGTGCTGCATTTTCATTTCGCACTGGGCTCCAGTAAATTGTGCAGCCGGTCCTGAGGAGCACACTTTCCATTGTAATAGGAGGGAAGGTAGTAGGAAAAACAGATGACGGAGTTTTAGAGGTTTGGTGGCAGAAAGTTGAGGGAGCTTTTATCTGATGGCTTTGATTTTTTTTTTTCCTGTGAAGTAGAAAGATCATCTCCTAAGAGCAGAGGAGGTAGAAAGTGTGAGGAAGTCGGAGAGAGTGTGATGCCTATGGGGAAATCATTAAGGGGGTGGGGCTATGGAACCAAATTGTGTCTCTGTCATTTACTAGCTCTGTGACTTGGAGCAAGTCACTTAACCTGTCTATGCTTTGATGGACTAGTCTATAAATGGAGATTGTAATAATACCTCAGGAGACTGCCTGGCTTGTAATACTTCTGGAGAATAGGAGAGAAAGGTAACTAGCAGAATGTAGATTGCCAAACCGACCCGTATTTCTTTCCTTTGTGTAGTGTCCATATCTAGATTGAGGGCAAAGCGTGTCAGAATCAAGGAGAAAATGATTAGGGTGCATAAAGGAAATCCCAACTGTTTCATTCCAGTATAATATGAAGTATATTTCACTATATTCTATAAGTGAATGAAAATATTTATTTTTTTTAGATGTAAAAAAGAAAAATGAAGAAACAACACAAAGGCAATTGGAAAAGCCAAAGAAAGAAGAAAAATGAAGGCTCAAAAACTATCAAAAGTACTGAATTTCTGTACATTGAAAGACTTAATGTCTCTGCTTTCCTGAGATGTTTGATCTGGTAGTAACTATGGTAACATTGCAGCCCTAAGCAACATGTGTGTATTAGACAATTTTGTTGTGATGCTACTCACTTGGAATGCAACCATTGATGTCCAATGTAGGTTATTAAAAGGCATATTACTTCCAAATTGCACCCAAGGAAAAGGTTAAGAATGTATGGTCACTTAAATACATATCATTATCTATAAACCCAACAAAATCCACTGCTCTCTTTTGGATTTACGTGGCCAGATGTATTTTTAATTCCATTTTTATGGTAACAGATAACCCGTTTCTTGGTAAATATAAAGCAAACACTATTCATTTAAAACTTTATGGAATTTGTAGGACATTTTTTTTGATGGGAAGGAATAATAGTCAAAAACATATAGAGAATATTTATTTTTAATCAAAAATGCACACTTTTCCCCAAACCCTAAAAGGATTTGGAAAAATTACAAAAGTTTGACAACCTAAATATCTCCAGGATGTTTTTGTTTAATTCATTTTGCTTCTAGTCTATGCATACTGTGATTTTTCATGTGGACTCTCAGAACACAAAATTTGTGACGAATCGTTTATGTGGAACATGCCTATTAAATGAATTTTGCTATCTTCCTTAACTTTGGCGTACGTGTGTGCATATGTTTTTCTTTAATATGAATTATACAAAACACTTTACTAGTTGCTTTATACTGTCTTTTCTTATTCTTAGGGCTTTTGTGTCTTGTAACTTGTTTCTAAAATGATTTCCTCAGGAATGCAGACCTTAATTTTTATATCTTTCCTAAAGTAGCTAACATAACACATAAATATTTAGTGAATGTTGTAGGTAGAAATAGCAAAATACTTGCTTTTAATATATATTTAAGCATATATTTTCAAAGGAACAAAAACAAAACCAAAGTTTTAGTAAATTTTGATTTATTAGACATTTTAGGAAAATAATAAAATTCTGAATTTTTAAAAAATGGAGTAATGAATTTATTTTCATTTTCAGATATATATGCATGCTCTTATATTTTATTTGATTGTTGACATAGGTCATGTCTGTATACAGTAATCAAATAAACTCTTCACTGTTCAAGAAAGTTGTTACTGATACGTCTTATTTTTATCATCTTAGCTATACCAACTGAAAAAGGGTGACACATTTTAAAGGAGGAAGTTAATAAACTTTACAGTATAAATCACTTCCTATGTATTATTTCATCGACAAAGTCTAACTTAATATCTTACATATACCAGAGGGGTAGATTTCAAAGAACCCGATTGTTTTCTCAAATACAAATTTTTTTTATAGAAGAATCTAAATTAGTATCTTAGGTGTAGCACTAAATTAATATTCAGTAAAATGTATTATAGCCATTAAAACTATATTTCAGAGAGTTATTGAATGACATGCTATTATGTAAAGAGTATAAAGAGTATTAGAGTAGAACAGTAGTTTTTAACTTGCGGGAGAGTGACAATTTGGCCTCAGAGAGGACATTTGGCAGTATCTGGAGACATTTTTGACGCAACTAGGGTGGGGGCTGGGGAGAGAAAGCGCTACTGCCATCTAGTGGGCAGAGACTAAGGATGCTGCCAAGCTGCCAAGCATCCTGCAGTCCTACCAGGAGACCCTGACGGCAAAGAATTATCTGGCTATGGGGGTCAGTAGTGCTAAGTTTAAGAAACCCTGGATTAGAATTAAACTGTTAAGCATGTGGATTTTTTTTTATTAAGCATTAATACTTTATTGTCAACGAATTGTCAGATCATTCCTATTTCCAAATGTTTAGTATTTATACAATAATTTCTTTTTTTAATCTGGGTGAAGGAATTATACACACTGGATTCATTATAAAAACATGGTGACCACCATCAAATTGAGTCTTCATAGCTCCCCTGTTTTCTTACATTTATAAAGGCTCACTTTCTGAAATAGTTATTTTTTGTCTCATTTTTTTTTTAAGTTTTTATTTAAATTCTAGTTAACATACAGTATAGTATTAGTTTCTGGTGTACAATATAGTGATTTAACGCTTCTTTATACACCATGCTCATCACAACAAGTGTCCTCCTTTATCCCCATGACCTACTTGACCCATCCCCCACCCACATCCGCTCTGGTAATCATCAGTTCGTTCTCTATAGTCAAGAGTCTGTTTCTTGGGGCACCTGGGTGGCTCAGTTGGTTAAGCGACTGCCTTCAGCTCAGGTCATGATCCCAGGGTCCTGGGATCGAGCCCCGCATCGGGCTCCCTGCTCGGCGGGAAGCCTGCTTCTCCCTCTCCCACTCCCCCTGCTTGTGTTCCCTCTCTCACTGTCTCTCTCTCTCTCTCTGTCAATTAAATAAATAAAATTAAAAAAAAAAGAGTCTGTTTCTTGGTTTGCCTCCCTCTCTTTTTTTCCCTTTGCTCATTTTTTTGTATCTTAAATTCTACATATGAGTGAAATAATATGGTATTTGTCTTTCTTTGACTTATTTTGCTTAGCATAATACTTTCTAGCTCCATCCATGTCATTGCAAATGGCAAGATTTCATTCTTTTTTATGGCTGAGTCATATTCCATTATATATTAAATAGTGTGTGCATGTGTGTGTGTATGTGTGTGTGTGTATACACCATGTCTTCTTTATCCATTCATCAGTCAATGGACACTTGGGCTGTTTCCATAATGTGGCTATTTAGATAACACTGCTATAAACATTGGGGTGCATGTATCCCTTTGAATTAGTATTTTTGTATTCTTCGAGTAAATACCTAGTGGTGCAATCGCTGATCAAAGGGTAGTTCTATTTTTAACTTTTTGAGGAAACTCCATACTGTTTTCTACATTCTTGCATTCCCACCAACAGTGCAAGAGGATTCCCATTTCTCCACATCCTCACCAACATTGTTGATTTTAGCCATTCTGACCAATGTGAGGTGCTATCTCATTGTAGTTTTGATTTCCCTGATGATCAGTGATGTTGAGCATCTTTTCATGTATATTGGCCATCTGTATGTCTTCTTTGGAAAAATTTCTATTCATGTCTTCTGCCCATTTTTACGTTGGATTATTTGTTTTGAGTGTTGAGTTTTATAAGCATGTGGATTTTGGATCCATATGACTTGAGTTTGAATTCTATCTCTGCTACTCACTTGCTGCATGATTTTGGGCAATTTACATCGTTTCCAAGTCTCAGCTTTGTCCTCTGTAGAATGGTATTAAGAATAGTACATACCTTGTAGGGTAAGTGGAAGTAGCAAATGAGATAGTATATGTAAAACAGTTGACGAATGGCTGGCAAAGAATACTTATTCAATAAATATTGGCTAACATCATCATCATCTTTATTCCAGATGCTTTGCCATTATTCTCTGGTAGTGGAGGTAGTGGGCAACTGAACTCGTTAATTTGGCTATATTCTGCCTTCCTGTGTGATTTCACAAACATCCCCTGTTCTTGGTGCTGGGAGAAGACACTATAATGGAAATGGATGATTCATAGTAATTACCACATTAGTGCCAATTCAGACACGCTAATGAGCTGCTGATAGGTGATGAGTATTATCCTTTAACAATGAGTCACCTCACTAATGTTTTATGACAGTTACTGCAACAAAACCGAATTTTGAGTATTTAAATGAGTAACTCGTTCCATGAAAATGTAGAAGAAAAAAAATTAACAACTCTTGGGTCATAATATTATATATGGTATTTACTTCTCATCTAAAATTAGAAGATGAGAAATGAAGCCATGTCCTTCCTCACTATTGCTGATAATGACACACATTCCAAATGTATATCCTAAATCACTTATTCATCACAATGCACTCATACATGTCCCATTATATACATATTTAAAAGATTTTATTTATTTACTTGTTTGCCAGAGAGAGAGAGAGAGCACAAGCAGGGGGAGAAGCAGGCAGAGGGAAAGGGAGAAGCAGGCTCCCTGCTCAGCAGGGAGCCCGATGTGGGACTCGATCCCAGGACCCTGGGATCATGACCTGAGCTGAAGACAGATGCTTAACTGACTGAGCCACTCAGGCGTTCCCCATTATATACATATTTATAAGTATTTTGTATTACAGAAGGTATCAGGCTTGTTGAATATTTACTAATGAAAGGATTTATTTTTTATTTTTTATTTTTTTGCTAAAATGGACTCCAGACAAAGGAGAATGAGAGTTCAATTGTAGTTTAAATGCAAAATTGAATTTGCCTACCAACTTTTTGAAAAAATCAGGTTCTTTTGGGAGAACCTTTGCTGTTTTGTCAAAGACAGTGTCAACAGAACTATCTAGTTGGGGCTCATTAAAGAAAGTCTCCAAGCCCATTTTTGCCATTGTCTATTTATAAGCCACTTGCTTTAGTCAATAGCTGTAAAGTCTTAATTAGTACTGTCAGATAAACCAGGACAAGAGGGAATGATAAAGCTATAAAGTGGTTATTTGGAAACTTGACTATAAAGGAGTAGAAAGCAGAACACCAACAACAAAAAATTCTATGCCGTGTGCCAAGAGATCTTTTTGTGATCTGGGCTGGAGAGGTTAGAACTGTCTTAGAATGTGAGTGACTACAGAGCAAGGTGTCCTATTTGCAAAAGGAAATGGTGCATTAGCTTCAGTTTTGCTAGCTCAGTTGGCTTTGGCCAGTTTGGGCAGATGATGGTGGTAGAGAGGGAGAGAGAGAGAGAGAGAGGAAGAGCTACCAAAGCACACTAGCCTATTGCCTTATCTGACACCTCAAATTCAAATTACAGTTCTGTCATTTGCTGTCATGGCTTTGTTATTTTAGTCTCTGTGCTGCAATTTCCTCAATGTGTAAAATGGTGAATTATGCGAATCAAATGGTGGATACTAGTAAAGTGCTAAGGAAAGTGCCTGACACATAGAAAAGCTGTTATTATTATTAGCAATTATTATTAATAATTTCCTGAGCATAAAAAGTGACAGAGACTTTAAGGTGAATGTCTGTTCTTTTCTATGTTATTTGCCAAAGTACATTTTCCTCCTATTTCTTTGCTCTCTTTTCTTTCCATGAGCAGCACCTCTTTAGCTAAAACCAGGACTGATTAATCAGAGTGGATTCCATTTTCTTCCAGAGTTATTGATGACAATTCTTACTGAACACTGGAAATCTGCAGCTATTTAAAAATGGAAGCATTGGGGTGCCTGGGTGGCTCAGTCGTTAAGCGTCTGCCTTCGGCTCAGGTCATGATCCCAGGGTCCTGGGATCGAGCCCC